TTTTTTTAGTTTATTAAATTGATTGTATATGGAAAACTCAATGAATTTCTTTGATTTTCTAATTTGAGTAGACGCTTCCCCATATACTATTTTATATTTTCTCTGTGATGAATTACACTACTATTGCTACGTCGATCTTAAAGCTACTCTCAAATATCCCTATATTATATTTAGTCAAATATACCTTAACTATTTACTACTCCACTCAACAATGAACTATTGGCGTAACCATATCGGACTCTCTTATTCTACATGCCCTGCTGTCATATTCCATGCCCAGTTCTCTATTTCTAGCTCATAGTTTTCCTGTTGCCTGCATGTGTTGAGGAAAAGAACTCAAATAGTTTCTATTCTTTATTCTATTCTTTTTGGGGCTCGCCCTACACAAAGAGTCAATGGCCATGCATTGGCTGGCAGCTTTTAATTTGCCAAATGGCCTCTGGGTGCAGCGTCAAAAGTTATGAAAGACAAGAACCTTGGGGCACGCGATGTGGCTGTTGCTCTCCTTGTTGTTGTTGTTGCTATTGTTGTTGCTGTTTCTGTTGCTATTGTTGGGGGTGTGTCTGGCCAGACTTGGGAGCAGCTCAAGCTACGATTGTGGCTACTCCTCTGCAGCGTTAATTCCCTTTTGGTCTGGGCGTGCCATGGCTACAAACGGGGCGTATGTGTAATCTTTACCCGGATGAGCGCTGGCCAAATGATTTCTTTAGCTTCTGCTGCTGTTGCTGCGACTGCATTTTCTTATATTTCTTCTTTCATTTTCACACATTAAGCAAGCGCCGACACACATAATTCCATGTTGTCCGGTAATTGTTCTGTAAATGCACAAATAATTACTTTCAATGCGCCAATAAAAAGAAACGTAAACACAGACGAGAGACGGACAGAGACGGACAGATAGCAGTTGGTGTGCGTGGAACGCAGCAGGAGCTGAACCCAACCAAGTCGGCGCTGAGCTCAAGATTTGATCAATCAAGCGCTTGGCCATGGCAATCAACGGCTTGAAAACTGAAAGCAGCCCGGTGAAAAGTAGGTGACCAGCAGTCGAAGCAGACGACAACATCATCAGCAGCAACAACATCATCATCATCATCATCATCAGCTGCTGCTGCAGCTTCTTTGCGGCAATCATGTCTGCCAACTTTCAATGCAACCGTCACTCACAAAAATGTTCTATGCCCCGCTGTGGCATCTGCATCTTTCTCTTTTGTTGCCCCAGCCCCAAAGTCCGGGCCATAAACAACTTTTACTGCGTAGCTCGGTAGTCTTACTTACTTTTGCTTTAATTATAATTGCCTGAACAGTGTTTTATTTGATTTCTGTTTTTCGTCTTCTTTCGTTTACAATCTGCCTTTCTTCTGCTTCTTCGTCTACTTGCAGATTGATGACGCAGCTATTCAGGTGTACAAGGATGGCGACTTTGGCGCTTATCTGGATCTGGAATCATCGCTGGCTGAGCAGAGCGAGGAAATTGAGGGGCTACAAGCCAGGTAAGCAGACAGACGCCCACAGCCTCTAATCCAGCACACACCTGAGTGCACCCACACACCTTTAATTGGCCAAAGCTGCCTTTTGATATATGCTCTAAAGGCGATTTTCCCTTTTTTTTTCGTACGGCACGCGCTTACCTTGAACCCATTTAAACGGGAAAGCTCTGGCTGCGGCTCTGGTTATGGCTCAGGCTTAGGCTGTGGCTCTGGGTTTCTGGGGCAGCTGCTCGTGGGTGGCATGTGGCACTTGTGAGCCTTTCACCACACACACACACACTCACACATATGCTTGCACACCTAGGCGGCCGCCTTTTCCCATTCGCTAATAAAGATATTGGCGGTTGGCGGTTGGCGGCTGTCAGGCTCTGGCCATAAAAAATGTCGCTATCTGTGGCACAGGAAACAGCGCGTCGGCCGACTACCTGGCTAACAGCTTAGCTTGACTACCTGGCCAAATGCCTGCCACTTGCACAGTTGCTCACGCTGCCAGACATGAGGCATTTGCATTTGCCACAGCCACAGCGGCACATCGTCAACATCTCACGTACGTGCAACTTGTTGCGATTTCATTCGTATTTCTCTCGTTTTATTTCGGCTGCAACTCATTTGCATTGCAGCAACAAAAGGCTTAAGTGCATAAACGTAGGCCGTCATATTTTGGCTCAGTTGCACAGATATAAATATATACATATATATATATATATATATAGACAGTCGTGTATACAGCTCATAATTCCCATAAGTGAGATCGGACCTGATTCTGGTCTAGCCCGTCAGTTTGGTATGCACGGCATGATCTCTAGTGGCATGCAGCCAACTGCAGTGGGCAGCAGACACACGCTCTTAACTGATTATGAACCATTCGCAGACATCAAGTTTTTTATGTTTATTATGTCATAGACAGGAATTAGAATGAGTGCAGAGCCGTGAGAGTGAATATGAATAGAAAATGGAAGTCTTTAGGAGAACGTTATGTGAAAGGAAATGGAAATAAGATGACTTCTAATAGGATTTGAGGAAAGCGACTGTCGATTACACACACACATACACAGCTAACGGTTTGCATAGAAATTGAAACGGGAAATATAAGTGTATATAATAGCAAATGAATGGGAGATGGAGGAAGCGATATATCGATTACTTAGAATATTAATAATGCAAGAGTTAATCGAATTACTGTGAGTCTATCAAATGAGGGAAGCAGCAATATTTGCATTTATTATAATTGTTACTTAATATAGATATAAATTGGAACTATTTCTTTTAAAGTTAAAGATTGCATAGGTAGCAATAATTTATGAGCTTTATATAGTCATTAAAACAATATAGATGTAGATAGAGGCGTAAAATAAATATAAAAACTAAAAAACTATTTTCATAAACTCAACTTTATGTTATCCCTTAGTAATGAGACATAAAAAAATGCAATTATACCATTTTTTTTTTTTTATTTATTGATTTAGATTTTATTTTTAGCCTCTACATACATTTAAGACAATACAAAAATTATATTTAATTTTTTATTGACATTTAGTTTCTCCAAACGTCGAAAATTTGTAATATATTCCCATATCCCATATTTACCAATCAATGCATATCTCTATACTTTAAAAGTATTATCATGTAAAATATATCTAACAGCTCTTATGCTGATCCACATATTCGGCTATGCCCCGTCTATACATTAGAGTATGTCGTTTCTTTATATTTATTTTGTTTTGGTTGCCCAGCAAGGAACGTGATGTCAGCTCCACGATCAGCGATCCAAAGTAACTGACGAACGCGTCAGGCCATGGGCCAAGCTCGGTAGCTGTTAGCTGGGAGCCAGCTGCTCTTTGGCCATGATGCCAAGTCAGGCAGAGCTCAAATAATGGGATTAATATAAGCAAGGCGTGCACAGAGAACCTGTCGGCGGGCGAGGGGAGCGAGGCAGCGATGGGAGGGCAGTTAGTTTGTAGTGTCGTGTGTCTATTTCTGACTTTCACTGGCTGCCTGGCCAGATCCTTGAGCATTATAAAATTATAATGTATATGTCGCCGGGGCAGTTAGCGTTCCAGCACTCCAGTTGATGGCGCCAATGAGTGTGTGTTCTAGGCGGAGGAGGAGGAGGAGGAGGAGGAGATGGTGGTGGTGAATCTGGTTGGGTCTGGCCACTAATCATGCTTATCGTATTAGTCATGGAAGCGCGCTCGCATGCAAATCATTCGCTTCACTACGCATCAAAATTCCGCAGCAGGCACGGGGCCCGCATGGGTCGATGGCTTGTTGTTGGCTTGTCAATCTGCAACTGAGTCCACAGCCAAAGACACTTGAGTAACACTGAGACACACACACACACATGCACACAGCCACATGCCACACCTGTGTGTGTATGCATTCTGAGTCGAGTCTAGAGTCTCGCACCGAGTCGAGTCGAGCAGAGTCGAGACCACATTTCATTATGAATTCTTGGCTCGACTTATTGGCGGCTACGTTCGTTCCCCAGATGCTTCATAGTCCATTTTCAATTATCTGCGTCGTTTGTTATTACTTTTATTATGGCCAACAACTGGGCAGCAAACAGCGGGTAATCAATGTTCTTAACTGGTCAATGAACCACCACACGGTGCTAACCCATTGTGTTTTACTTTTAGTTTTCTTTTTGCCCGTGTCTTTGTCTTGCTGCCATTGCTAATGAAATTACATACAAAATTAATATCAATTTTTGTTCCACTACCTCGCTCTAACTCTGTCTACCTCTCTGTCTCTCTCTTTCTCTTTTGCAGTCGCAAAAATTCTTTGGTTATTCGCACACAGCTGAGCGTTCGCGTTCATGCGATTATAGGTAAGTTGGCTGGTTCAAAATTGTGTTGTGTATACGCCTCATTGACCCGGACTCTTGCAGAGAAACTTCTATCATCGGAGGGCAGCGATCTGCGACGTGCTCTGTTCTCGCTCAAGCAGGTGTTCCAGGAGGATAAGGATCTGGTGCATGCCTTTGTCGCACTGGGCGGTCTCAATTGCCTCGTGCGCGTCGGCAATTGCGCGGATCAAAACTATCAGAACTATATACTGCGTGCCCTAGGCCAGGTAAGCAAGCGACGATCACCGATCACCGGATTTCTGATTCACTGCTCACTCTTCTCCGATCACCGATCACCGATCACCGATCACCGATCACTGATCATTGATCAGCACTTACCACTCAAAGCTAATCATTGTCTTTTCAATGCGACAGGTCATGCTCTATGTGGATGGCATGAATGGCGTTATGAAGCATCAGCCCACCATGGAGTGGCTCTACTCATTGATCGCCTCCAATTACCGTTCAGTGGTTAAGACGGCGCTCAAGCTGTTGCTCGTGTTTGTGGAGTATGCCGAGACCAATTGCTATGTGTTAGTGAGCGCCATTCATGCAGTGGACGCCGCTCAAGGCACTTTGCCATGGGCCAATATAATGAGGTAAGCGATCGCCGTCGATCGTTGCTCGTTTAGATTTAGATCACTCACACTTGATGTGCTCGCTCTTCACAGACTGCTTAAGGACTATGATAATGCGGATGCAGAGCTAGTGATCTATGCCACATCGTTGATAAATAAGACACTGGCCGGTCTGACAGATCAGGATAGTTTCTATGATGAGAGTGATCTGCTGGAGCAGCAGGGCATGGAGACGGTTATACAGCGCTATATGTCCAAGCCAGGCACAGATCTGGATCTGCTGGATCAACTGCAGCTGTACGAGGCGGTGTTGAAGTAGGCCTATAACATAGATATATTATGGATTTATATATTTAACTGATTGCTAAATTTGCTTAACAGATTCGAGGATGGCGAATCGGATGGTCAGCGCTTGCCGCAGAACTCAATGCGCAAGACTCAGCGCTATCGTCCGGGCGCCAGCACCACGGAGCGACGCAAATCGCGTCGCCACAGCACAGACAACAGTCCGGCGCCCCTGACCAAGGTGCTGCCCACACAGGTGCTGCGCATGACACCCACGCAGGCGACGGTCGATGAGGACGATAGCTCTGGGTCGACAAATTCTACAGAGTTTAGCAATGGCATATTTCAGGAGAAGAAACGTAGGCTCGTATGATCTATAACCCCATTAAAATATAACTAATTGTGATCCATTTCCAGCACGTGATGGCGCTGGTGTCACACCTGGTCTGCGGCGTCGCCGTGAGCGCGCCGAGCGGCACAAGAGCTTCCTCAAGGAGCAGGAGGAGGCGGCAGCCAATGGCATCTTTGCGGCACGTGAGCTGCGCGAAAGCTATGGTAAGTGCTTGGTGGGTTAGCTCCACATGCGAATCGCTTACTGCTGGCGCTGCTGCTTTAAAACCGAAACTAACTATGATTCTCTCTCCATGCTAATCGCTGTGTATATCTGTCTGTCTGCCTCATTGTCACCCGCTAACCAAATATGTCACCCACAATTGTCATATGCCAAGGCCAAATTGTAACCGCCATTCCTGCAACCATACAAAGCGGCGACAGTCCGCCGCAATCGCTGCAATCTGAGCTGCCAGTGGCTCCACAGTCGCCCACGCCCTGCAACAACAACAGCAACATCAACAACAACAACAACAGCAGCAGCAACCACATTAACAACAACAGCAACAACAACATCAACAACAATAGCAATAGCAATGGCCATCACACCCACAACATCCACATTGACACGCCCAACAACAGCTTGCTGCTGAGTCCCACGAAGCAGCTGCTAAGTGGCAGCCAGAGCATCTCGATCATCAACAACAGCTTCGACAAGGCCAACAACAATATGAACAACCAGAATGAGTTCCTTACCAAAAAGAATCTCTTTCGGGAGCGCAACGCAACTGTGATCAACGGCATCATGAAGAACATACAGCAGACGGACAGTGCCTACAAAAAGTATGAGAACGATGCCAATCGACTGAACAACTATTACACACAGCTCAGCCAATCGCCCAAGCATCTGGCCCACCACCCAGTCCAGGAGAAGTCACTGAATGGCAACGGCTTCGAGTTTGTGCCCGACAGCTCAACGCCGCTGAAGGCGGATGCTTTGCCTCCGCCCGAACCGCTGAGTCCCATACACAAGCCAGCGGGAGTGGCGCCACCACCGCCTCCGCCGCCGCCTCCACCACCACCACCACCTGGCTGGTGGCACATACCCATAGCCACCAATGCAAATGCAACTAGAACCCTAACCAGTACTAACCAAGAGCCTCCAACAGCCATGGAAGCAACAGGTAGGTGCAGCTTCTATTTGAACTAAAAAAATTGTAGCATACTTTTCAGAGCCACAAAAAGCCAGCGCTTCTCACATTCTATATAAAATATGTTGCATACTTTCGAGCGCTGCAAATAAATCGAATATTGCATTTGCTGCTGTGCATGCCTCGGGGCAGCTTTTTGTACCGAATTTCTAACTGAATTTTATTTATTTCAATTTCGCTTTTCCACAGATCTGGAAGACAAGGAAATGCTAATGCAGCTGAAACGTGATCACACCGTCAAAGATCTGACACAGAAACTATGCAATCTGCCCACGAGCCCCACACAGGAGCCAGGCAGCCGCGCCATTGTGGGCGACATGTCTGGTCTGATTTCGAAAGCCAAAGAGGGGCTTGCCAAGAGCAAGAGCAAAGGTGAAATTTCACGGTGAGCAACTCTCAATCAATATAATAATATTCCATTCGATATATATCTTATCAGCGGCGGACTATCAGTAAAAGTTGCATAATCTCTTAGTTTAAAGGCCAGCCCAAATTTGGACTTGTTGATATCACAAAATGTCTATCGGAATCTAGAAAGTTGAGAGCTCTTGAGAAATTAGTTTTGTTCTTTTCCTTTTTATCAATTTATCAATTTATCATTTATTTAAGTCCAACCGGTAAATAGATTTAAGCGTATTTGGGTGCATATTTCTCATAGGTGGCAACGTAGGCCGCCTTGGCCGCATCCTGGGACAAGCCCTTGTTCTTGGTCCATGCGTTCCACTTGGCCTTGGCCTTCACATCCAGTGCGCCGGGCTCCGGCGTGGTATTGTCGCCGACTGTGGCCTGCTTGTAGAGGCCGTAGAACTCCAGGAACTCGTCGTTGGTGGGGCTCTTGGTGAATGCCTTGGCTTTCTCGGCGGCGGTGTTGAACTGTCGAGATAGATAGATTTACAGTTGCCGTATAGAATCAGAATCAAATGACAACTGCTGCTGTATACTCACATCCATTATGTCTTATGCTGCGGCTGCTAATGAGTGCCAACTGCGACTCTGCGGAGTCTATTTATACTAGACCCGGGCAGCTGATAGCGATTTATGACATTAGAAGCCGTTTTTAGATATCGACATGTGTGATAAGCGCCAGTTACCAGAGTCGGCACACTGTGTGCCGCATAAAACTTTAATTGCTAATTATTAAATCGAATACATCAAAGGTCTTCCCACTTGGAGGGCTGACTAAGCAGCGAGAGCAAGCAGTAGATCGTTGCCTGGGCCATTTCTTCTTTAGTTTCTTTTATTATGCCAAAATGCAATTAACAGAGTATTAACCGAGCTTATGTATAGATGGGGGCGTACTTCTCATAGAGCGCGATGTAGGCAGCCTTGGCGGCCTCTGTGGACATGCCCTTGCGGCTCAGCCAGGCCTCGTATTTGGCCGCACCCTCGGCATCGGCGGGCTTCTCGATGTTCACGTCGCCGGAGTGGACCTGCTTGTAGAGTCCATAGAACTCCAGGTAGACCTCTGGTGGTGGCTTGCTGCTGAAGGCCTTGGACTTTTCGCAAATCGTCTCGAACTGCAGGGCAATAAAAGTTCTTAGATTAGCCGATGCTACCTATAGGGAGCGCATTGCACAACTTACATCCATTTTGGTCGGGATTTAATGATAGACTATGATTTGTGTTGCTCAAATGGCGCTTTTTATAGCCAGCTCGGGCAATATAAGTAAATCTTATCAATTATAAAAGCAGTAAAACCAAATAACTGTGGCAGCACAATAAAAAGATCACAGAGTTATGGCTTTTCGTTTCCTTCATTAATGACTTTTATTCGCTTGGCAAGTGTTAGCCATTTCTGCAAAAGTATAGCTGAAATATTATGCTATATCTAGGGGATCATCCAATCTAGAAAGTTTTTTGTATGTTGCTTCTCTTTCGTTTTACTTTTTTTTTTTTTGCCACGGTTTGGGGTCTTGCTATCTTGCTACCAGGCCAAAAGTTGATAAGACTACTTTTATGGTGCGCTCATTGCAATCGAACGATCGTAAAAGCGCCGCAGAGTACAGCTCAGTTGACCGGCAGTGCAATAATTGTGGTACTTTGTATTATCTCTAATCCGATGACAGCTCATCGAGCGTCGACCAGGAACTGAAAAAGGCTGAGCCGAAGAAATCGGAGAATGAGCTGCACTGGGAGGAGTTGGTGCGCAACATGACGCGACCATTGAACCTATGTGATCTGGACTTTACTGATCTGCACTCGGATGATGAGAAGGATGTGCTGGCGCCGCGTGGCCTTGGCGCCGGCATACCGCCACCACCGCCGCCGCTGGGTGGAGGCATGGTGATGCCGCCGCCCATGATGCCGCCCTGCCTGATGCCGCCGCCCATGTTCAGCTATGCGGGCTACGGGGCGAGCAGCCTGACGAACAGCGTGAATAGCTCGCTGAATGGCTCGATCAACGGCGAGCTGGCCAATGGCAACAATACCATCAAGAAGAACAAGAAGACGGTGGGTAGAGAGACCAATAACAAGGCATATTCAAGGCTAACTTTGTCCGCCTTTCAGGTCAAGCTCTTCTGGAAGGAAGTGCGCGAGGACATGATTCCCCAGGTGATTGGCAAAACCATCTGGGACGAGCTGCCCAGTGCGAATGTGGACACCCAGAAGCTGGAGCACTTGTTCGAGTCGCGCGCCAAAGACTTGATGACCAAGGTGCGTATTTGAGATACACATTTGATTCATATTAGGGGTATTCCCAGGCAGCTACTGGCTGCCATCGATGAAAATGACATTTAATAAGTCTCTTAGCTATTATTTTAGTCTAAACTGTTGCATAACCCAAAAAGAAAACTCTTTGCGAATGATATTTGTTTTATTTTCCCCTTTTATCTCTGGACATGTTTGCAATAATATTAATTCTATATGTCAACGGTCTCTGTTATGCGGATATATCTACAAAAAACATAAATGTTGTGCTAAAATCGAATCTATATCAAAATCAATTTCTCAATATCAATAAATATATATTTATATATATATATATGTATCAAATAAATGTTCTATAGGAGGTGAGTGCAAATAATATGTTTAATACACTTTAACTCGCTCTCTCTTTGTCTATCTGTCTCTCTCTYACTCTCACTCTGACTCTGTCTCTGTCTCTGTTTTACTCTTTCTCATTGTTTCTCAGTCGGTTTAAGTTTAGTTTTTCAATGTTTTACATACATTGGTGTTGGTTAATTACACACACACACAGACACATGCAATCACACACACACAGACACATGTACACTCACAGTAACAGGAGTCGGAATCACTAGTTGCTAACAGTTAGATACATTGCGTATAAGCCCCACTCCCACCCCCTTCTACCCTACAACCACTACAACATAAACAAAACTCCCACTCTATCTCTCTCTCTCACTCTCCCGCTTCTTGACTAATTCGACTTGGCACTTGCAGAAGCAACAGGAGCTGAACAAGAGCAAGGAGATCATCGTGCTGGACCACAAGCGCTCGAATGCCATCAACATTGCGATGACCAAGCTGCCGCCGCCGCGCGCCATCAAGGCGGCCATTCTGAAGATGGATGCCACTGTGGTGACGCGCGAGGGCATCGACAAGCTGCTGAACATGCTGCCCACGGACGAGGAGCGCGGCAAGATCCAGGAGGCGCAGCTGTCCAATCCGGAACTGCCCCTGGGCAGTGCCGAGCAGTTTCTGCTCACACTGGCCTCCATCACAGAGCTGGGCGCACGCCTGAAGCTCTGGGCCTTCCGCCTGGACTTTGACAACTGCGAGGTAGGTGAAAGAGTCAGCCAACTAAACTTGTTCTCATCGCATGCTCAATCCGCAGAAAGAGATTGCCGAGCCGCTGATGGATCTCAAGCAAGGCATTGAGATACTGCGCCACAATCGCACCTTTCGCAGCATCCTCGCCACGCTGCTCTCCGTGGGCATCTTCCTGAACGGGGCGCCGGTGAAGGGCTTTCAGATCGAGTATCTGGCCAAGGTGCCGGAGGTGAAGGATACCGTGCACAAGCATTCGCTGCTGCACCATCTCTGCCACATGGTCATGGAATCGAATAGCGATACCACGGATTTGTATTCCGAAATCGGACCCATTACGCGTGCCTCCAAGGCCGACTTCGCCGACCTCGCCCACAATCTCACCCAGCTGGAGTCCGAGTGCAAGGCGTCGTGGGACCGCCTCAAGCTCATTGCCAAGCACGACTGTGCGCCGCCCCTGAAGCAGAAGCTGGTGGACTTCCTGGCCGACTGCGCCGAGCGCATCATCAGCCTGCAGACCGTGCATCGGCGCGTGATGAATCGCTACCGCAAGTTCCTGCTCTGGCTGGGCATGCCGCAGCACAGTGTGGCCGAGTCGCGGCCGAACGAATTCTGTCGCACGCTCTCCGAGTTCGCGCTGGAGTACCGGACGACGCGCGAGCGTGTGCAGCAGCAGCTGGAGAAGAAGGCCAATCATCGGGAGCGCAACAAGACGCGCGGCAAGCTGATCATTGACATGGTCAAGTTCAAGACCAAAGAGGATGTGGCTGATGCCGAACTAAAGTACGTCAAGCTGCTCAAAGCCACACAGAAACATTTTTATTGACTCTCTGCTTCTTTGCAGACAACTGCTTGGCACTCCCAGTCCCGATCAGACGGATGGCACGCTCACCTGGCGTCGGCGCCGCGCAGAGCAGCTGCGCTCGCCCATTGCCCGACAGAGCGAGGAGCAGTTCACCGACGGCGATGACGAAATACTCGAGTCCCTGGTCAAGACGGCGACCAAGGCGTCCGGCACAAGGACCACGCCACGTGAACGCAAGCGCACCCGCCATGCGGATCGCAAGTCCTGTAAGTTGCACAAGCGAATGATCGCTCTGACTGAGATCGATTTTAATCTTTTGGAATACACCACGCACAGCGCGCTATGTTTAGGCACACCCACCCACACACGCACACGCACACACACACACCTCTGCAAACTCGAGGCTACAGCAACAATTCCAAAAGATGAAATGAAATGAAAATGAATATGAAAAACTAAAAATGCTGATTTTTCCCGTACTTAAATTTGATGATTTCCCCTCGAACCCAGACTCAAAAGCTTTGGCACTTATTTTCTTTTTAGTTCTTTGCTAGCTTTACATATCGGTTTGCCCATATTCGGTTGGTTTTTTTATAATTTTATGTTTTCTTACCATTAACGCACCCAACAACAACTACAACTACAACTACTACAACAACAACAAATAATAAAACCAATCAAACAATCGCATACTGAAGTGAAGCGCAGCCGCACGCGCGAGGGATTCACAGTTGAAAGAGCACCGTCGCCCTAGAGCCGTTTGCGCAACTGTTGCGCAAACAATCCAAACAGTTTTAGGTTTTTACCTGTCTTTTTTTGGTTAGTGTTGAAATTGTGATGCACAAACTATATATGTATATATACCAAATATATGTGTATATGTGTGTGTGCATATACAATATTTTGATTTTTGTTCAAATTTTTTATTTGTTGCGTTTTGTTTTTTTTTTTGCGGAGCAACATTTGCTGGCATCTTCCACATATTTTGTTCACTAGTGTTGCCATCCAAATTCCCGAGGAGATGTTGGCAAATGACTCTGGCCAAGTTTTGTTTATGCGCCTGGCTGAAATCCCAGTTGATTTTATTTATAAGCATTTACTAAGCATGCGCCTTACTCTGATTGCATGAGAGAGAAATCTGAAGACTTCATCTTTTACCTAAACAATTTGATTAATTTTTGCTTTTGTGTTTTTGCAGTGCGCCGCACGCTGAAGAACGGCCTCACCGAGGAGGAGAAACAGCACGTGGCTGCGTTGATACAAACCTATTAGAGCTAAGTTCGAACCGGGCAAAACTGTTCACCCAACCCACACTCAATCCAACCCAGTGACGTCACAAGTCGGGCTATGCACAGACTGAAATTGGCGATCTCACGTGCAGCAAATCAAATCTGGATACAGCGCGTATCTCTTTCTCTTTCTCACTCACTAACGCACCCCACGCAACCCAAATCTCCCCGCAAAGTGAAACGGAAAACGACGCAGTCCTACAAAAAGCAAAATCCAAACAAGTTCTCTTAATTAATTTTCCTGTTATTCGATATATTTTGATTTTGTTTGTTTTTACTTCGTCTAAGTATTACAATTGAGAATGGAAATGTTTTTGATTGTGAGACAGCAACTGTATTAATAGCCAAACAAATTTTATAGATATATATATA